AACAAGGCCCCAAAATGCATTTTAGCATTCTATGAGCTACGCTATGTACACATCAGGGAAAATTATGCCACCATTCAAAAGAATAAAGTAGACCTGTACATACTGACATGGAAGGATGTCTGGAATAAATTGGCAAAAGGCAAAAGGCGAGCTGAAGAGCTGTTTTTGTAAAACAAACCATTAAATATATACATGAATATATAGAATTTTCCCCCCACAGGGCACAGTTAAAGGCAGAAAGAGAACGCATAAGCATTAATATTTGTTTCCCTAGGGAGAGGGATTAGAAAGGAAGGGAGGGGACTTTCGTTCAGCTTCATGCATGTCTACAGTGTCTGCGTTTTCTTATAATAACCATGCATTATCTTAATTTTTAAAAATTAAAGCAAGATTCTATTAAAAGTAGTAACAGACTATTCCCTATTCCCCAGTAAATGATTTCTCATTATTGCCCTTTAAGCCGCAGCTACAATACCCAACGATAATGAGTTAGCGCTAATCTTTGTAACAAGGAGGACAGGGAGACACCTGAAAGTCAGGAAAGCAATCGAATGAATGAGGAGTCATGGACCTCACAGGCAGGAACCACATTCAATTCTACGACAGGTATCTGAGTATCAGAGCGCCAGGCTAATTCCAGAGAGATGAATGTAAAGACTCACCAGATAGAGGTTATTTTTGTCCTGAAAGGCATACTGTAATTGGGGGATCCAAGGGCTTGTGCTTCGAGATAATATGTTCCGTTCTTCCTCAAAAAATGAAACCTAGCAAAAAAAAAGAAACCCTTTAGAAAATTTGAAAGAACCAAGTGTTGGGAGGTGGGTAGGAGGGGGGCCTAGGCCCTTTCCTCTGTCTTTAAGCCTGAACTGATGTTTCTAGCTTAAAATAAAAAGCCATCACTTAGCCTGGCATTCCACAAATCTCAATCATTCACCTATTTTGCTCACAATTTTTGCCAGCTCCATATATGGCCTGTTCAATTATTTACCTATCCTCCTTCTCTAAATTAAACTCGCTTTCTTTAAATCTAAATCTCTCTCTCTTCCTCTTCACCTTCCCTTCCTGAACAATTCAGCCCTAAAGGCATTAGCTGCAGCAGAGCAAGGTAAGCAGCTATGCCAGTGACTGGGAGAGAAAGATGCGGTGGCCCAGGACAGGTGGCAGGCCCGAGCAGAGTGAGGAGGGCGGCAACCATGTGTGAAGGCTGTCCAGTGTGGGGTGTGAAGGACCCACGCAGGGTGAGGAAGACATCCACGTGTAGGGGTGGCCTGGCATACGTGATCGGGACCCAACAAGGGGATGTGGGATCACAGTAGATTGGACACATACAGATATATAAAATAAGTAAAAATATTAAAGGTATGATGTCAGAGAAGAGCATTACGAACACAGAAAGGGTGAAAACTAAAATGAATCCTGTGAAGCTGGACTGGAATTGGGGGTATTAGTGTGAACTCATGGTTTTCAATATAAGTACAGAGGACTGTCCTTATACTTCATGCTTGTCTACAGTGAAAACGTTTTTGACTTTTCTATAAATTTGTGATTATTTCAAATAAATATAGATGTAAATGTGTGTATATGTGTGTGTGTGCACATGCATGCAGGTAAGTGTATTGTACACCCATACATGCATTCCTTAGTGCTGTCCACTGGAAGGGGTCTAGGGGCAGTGATACCCCACTATCAAAGAGAATACCCAGTGCCCAGATGTTGGCCTGAAAGTACCATTTTCCACTCAAAGGAATAGGGCTCCTTGGAGACATGACTGATGCCAGGGCTGGGGCAGAGACAGTAAAAGCACCAGAAGAGCCTGAACATCTCCTTGTACCAGAAATCAAGAAAATACTTAAAGAATGATGGGGATATGTCAAAAGGACACAAAAGCCAGCCTGAAGAGGTTCTCACTGGCCAGATTGGGGGCAATTTGAGTATGAATATCGTGGTAGAAATGGACTATAACTCACTGACTGAAAGAGGAAAATGCAAGTCCACATAGATATAAATAAATGAATACATTCAAAGTTTTATGAGGAACAGGATATTTCCATCGTTTGAAAGGACCTCTCCACAAATTACTTATGCACCACCAGAATCAAGTGATCAAAACGAACATCGTCAAGAATGTGACAAATTGAAACTGAGAGTCACCAGTTGGGATGCAATGAGAACAGAGTATCTTGTCTGATATTCCTGCCAAAGACCCATAACCCGAATCTAAACACGAGCAACATCAGACAAATCTAAATTTTTAAAAATAACCAGCCTATAATCATCAGAACTGTCAAGATTCTCCTGGAGAATGCTGGGGAGGAAAAAACAGAAAAAGTATTGTCAAGGTCATGGGAGTCCAGGAAAAATTAAGGAACTGATCCAGATTGAAGGAGACTAAAGAGGCAGGACAACTAAACACCAAGTGTGGTCCAAAGATGGATCCTTTTATTCTAAAATACGTTACTGAGATAACTGGTGAAACCTGAACAGGATCAAAGGATTCGACGGTAGTAATACATCACTGCTAATTTCACGATTTTGGTGGGTGTATTGTGGGTCATAGGAGGATGTCCTTGTTGTAGGAAATGCACACTAAAGTATTCAGAGGTAATGGGGCATCAGGTTGGCAACTTATTTTCAAATGGTTCAGGGAAAAAAAGTTGTTATACTTTGTGGTAGTTAATGTCACATGTCAACTTGGCCAGGCCACAGTAACTGGGTATTCAATCAAACACTATTCTAGGTTTGCCGTGATAGATGCAGTTAACATCTACGATCAGTTGACTTGAAGATTGTCCTCAATACTGTGGGTGGCCCTCATCCCATCAGCTGAAAGGCCTTAAGAGCAAGACTGCAGTTTCCCTAAGGAAGAAGCAATTCTGCCTCAAGACTGCATCATCTGCTCCTGTCTAACAATTTACCAGCCTGCCTGACAGATTTCAGACTTTCCAGCCCCTTACAGTCATGTACATCAACTGCTTGAAATAAATAAATTATATATGTATATATGTAAATATAGTCTATGTGTGCATATATATTTTTATGTGTATATATATTTTATGTATATATATTCAGTATGCATAGTCTATATATTCTGTGTGTATATTATTCTATATATATTTAACGTATGTTGCGTGTGTGTATATATATCTCTCTCAAGTGATTCAGAAAAAAATTTGTTTATACTGTATGTGATAGTTTTATGTGACAACTTATATATATATTTATATATGCATGTATATCTCCCCTACTGGTTCCATTTCTCTTAAGAACACTGACTGATACACTGTACTTGCAACTTTTCTATAAATTTGTGATTGGTTCGAAATTTTTAAAAACTTAATTTTAAATATACCTTCTTTTATTTCATTCTAACAAGAACCTCTGTGGAAGTCACAGGTTTTTTTCTTTTTTTTTTTTTTTGAGACAGAGTCTCACTCTGTTGCCCTGGCTAGAG